AATTATTTATATTGGGCGGAAGACAATCCGCACGCCATTCGTGAATGCTCGTTCCAATATCGATGGGCGACAAATGTATGGGCAGGAATAACAGCGAACCGAGTCGTAAGTAGTAAATTTTAGTAAATCAAGGAATTTTCTTTCGCAGCTTTAATATATCATTTTCTTTCGTGATTTTCAGATTGGTCCTTATTTCCTACCGCCACATTTAAATGGGGAAATATATCTAAACTTCCTCCAAAACGAGTTACCCATTCTCCTCGAAGATGTTCCTCTTAATGTAAGAAATCAACTCATCTTCCAACATGACGGGGCTCCTGCGCATTTCGCTCGCCGGGTTCGCGAATATTTAAACGCGCATTATCCGGACAGATGGATGGGTCGAGGTGGCCCAATCATTTGGCCGCCGCGATCGCCAGACTTTAATGTATTAGATTATTTTGTATGGGGTCACATAAAAAATTTAGTCGAACACAGGCGTGATGGTACAGAAGCTGAAGTACGAGAAGTAATTCTCGCAGCTTTTAATACCATCACGCCGGAAATGATGTATCGCGATCGCGCGACATATTACTCAAAGAGCCGAACTCTGTTTACGCACACAGAAAAATATTATTCTATTGCTAAGTAAAATGATTACTCAGTTTAGTTTACTTCTTTTAAGTAACAGTTTTACTCAATAATTCGCAAAGAATACTAATTAAGCGTGATCAATTATTATACATATGACCACTGCTTTGTTTTAGCATTAATCCACGTATTCTTTGCGAATTATTGAGTAAATTTAATTTTGTCCTTTCTTTGTAGCTAATAATGAATTTGTATGTGTTATAATCGTCTTTACAAGAAATTAATTGTATAACAGCTAAGATTATCATATCAACATCTATTTATATATTTACAAATGTTTTTAGTCGATAATAATTTAATAATCTTCCTGTATAGAGAATGTTATTGATTATAAATGCTATCGGTCTCAAGAGAGCCCAATTATCGATAATTAACTATTCTAATTAACTGTGTAATAGATTCAGTACAATGAGGAAATATGGTCAGATATATTTTTATAAGAAATTATTCATTCATCCTTGGTGTGCGCAGGTTTATTTGTTGCGCATAATGCGACCTTCGATGCATATCCTTCATTGTGTTTGCGGTATTTATCTAATTCATCTAATCTATCTAACATATCTATCTAAAAGTAATCTTTTTCTCCTTTTGCTTCCTCATAGAGAAAGCTTTGTTTTCGTGACAAAATTTTTTTTCGAGTTTATTACTAATGATGTAGTACGAGATGCATATAATGGTAATGAAATTTTAAGAAAGTACAATAAGATGATACGTACGAAATATATCGTATATACATATATACACATATATATAAGGTCGCATTATGCGCAACAAATAAACCTGCGCACACCAATGATGAATGAATAATTTCTTATAAAAATATATCTGACCATATTTCCTCATTGTACTGAATCTATTACACAGTTAATTAGAATAGTTAATTATCGATAATTGGGCTCTCTTGAGACCGATAGCATTTATAATCAATAACATTCTCTATACAGGAAGATTATTAAATTATTATCGACTAAAAACATTTGTAAATATATAAATAGATGTTGATATGATAATCTTAGCTGTTATACAATTAATTTCTTGTAAAGACGATTATAACACATACAAATTCATTATTAGCTACAAAGAGAAAGGACAAAATTAAATTTACTCAATAATTCGCAAAGAATACTAATTAAGCGTGATCAATTATTATACATATGACCACTGCTTTGTTTTAGCATTAATCCACGTATTCTTTGCGAATTATTGAGTAAATTTAATTTTGTCCTTTCTTTGTAGCTAATAATGAATTTGTATGTGTTATAATCGTCTTTACAAGAAATTAATTGTATAACAGCTAAGATTATCATATCAACATCTATTTATATATTTACAAATGTTTTTAGTCGATAATAATTTAATAATCTTCCTGTATAGAGAATGTTATTGATTATAAATGCTATCGGTCTCAAGAGAGCCCAATTATCGATAATTAACTATTCTAATTAACTGTGTAATAGATTCAGTACAATGAGGAAATATGGTCAGATATATTTTTATAAGAAATTATTCATTCATCCTTGGTGTGCGCAGGTTTATTTGTTGCGCATAATGCGACCTTCGATGCATATCCTTCATTGTGTTTGCGGTATTTATCTAATTCATCTAATCTATCTAACATATCTATCTAAAAGTAATCTTTTTCTCCTTTTGCTTCCTCATAGAGAAAGCTTTGTTTTCGTGACAAAATTTTTTTTCGAGTTTATTACTAATGATGTAGTACGAGATGCATATAATGGTAATGAAATTTTAAGAAAGTACAATAAGATGATACGTACGAAATATATCGTATATATGTATATATGTATATACGATATATTTCGTACGTATCATCTTATTGTACTTTCTTAAAATTTCATTACCATTATATGCATCTCGTACTACATCATTAGTAATAAACTCGAAAAAAAATTTTGTCACGAAAACAAAGCTTTCTCTATGAGGAAGCAAAAGGAGAAAAAGATTACTTTTAGATAGATATGTTAGATAGATTAGATGAATTAGATAAATACCGCAAACACAATGAAGGATATGCATCGAAGGTCGCATTATGCGCAACAAATAAACCTGCGCACACCAATGATGAATGAATAATTTCTTATAAAAATATATCTGACCATATTTCCTCATTGTACTGAATCTATTACACAGTTAATTAGAATAGTTAATTATCGATAATTGGGCTCTCTTGAGACCGATAGCATTTATAATCAATAACATTCTCTATACAGGAAGATTATTAAATTATTATCGACTAAAAACATTTGTAAATATATAAATAGATGTTGATATGATAATCTTAGCTGTTATACAATTAATTTCTTGTAAAGACGATTATAACACATACAAATTCATTATTAGCTACAAAGAGAAAGGACAAAATTAAATTTACTCAATAATTCGCAAAGAATACTAATTAAGCGTGATCAATTATTATACATATGACCACTGCTTTGTTTTAGCATTAATCCACGCCGGGTTCGCGAATATTTAAACGCGCATTATCCGGACAGATGGATGGGTCGAGGAGGCCCAATCATTTGGCTGGCGCGATCGCCAGACTTTAATGTACTATATTATTTTGTATGGGGTCACATTAAAAATGTAATTGAACACAGGCGTGATGGTACAGAAGTTGAAGTACGAGAAGCTATTCTTGCAGCTTTTAATACCAACACGCCAAAAATGGCGTATCGTGCGACGCGCAATATTACTCGAAGAGCCGAACTCTGTTTACGAGAATGAGGAAGGCACTTCGAACAATTTTTACATTAACATATGAGAGTGGATTAGACCTATTGGGGATACCACTTTATAAAAAATGCACTGTGTTATCTACCGCAAGGTGGTGTGGAAACGATAGCATAATACTTCCTATCAGAGTTGGGCAAAAATGTATTCTAATTAACAATTACAAATTTCAATTACAATGTAATTCTTAATGCAATTAATAATTACATTTTATAATCGTTAATTATTGCAAACAATAACATTGTTTGCAATAATTAACAATGTAATTGTTTGCAATAATTAACGATTATAAAATGTAATTATTAATTGCATTAAGAATTACATTGTAATTGAAATTTGTGATTGTTAATTAGATTACATTTTTGCCCAACTCTGCTTCCTATGCCGCGCGCGCGGGAAAGAGAATGAGAGAGTGAGAGAGAGAGAGAGAGAGAGAGAGAGAGAATAGTTCGAGATGCGTGGCTTCAGCGTTCGCTCGTACGTAGCCGTATACAGCGTCCCTCCCACCGCTTCGCCGCGCACCAAGCAACGCCTGAGTAGGAAGTTTCTTCTCGCCGCGCGCTTGTGTAAGGCATGGATTGGCCCATCTTTTTAAATTAATTTATTAATAATTATTACGAAAATCGCAAAATGGTAAAGGACTTTTCTTCTCGATTTCATCTGCTCTACCTGCACATGGCGGGTGATCCGCGAATTATGGGACACCCTGTATATGTACGAATATTCAAGATGGCGACGAATTGGTCCAAGTTATTCCATTTGGCAAACCCTTAGAACATATATAAATGGAAGGGGAATAGCAGGCTAAAAAGTGTCGAAGGAAGTGAGAAAGAAATCGTAGTTGCCTCTCTCTTGTGAGTATATTCAATAGTAAAGTAATGCTTTAAATAATAAGAGTTAGAAAAATAGTTGAAGAAAAATATTATAATAAGAGAAGAAATTAGGAGAAAATATCAACTATTTATAAGAATTGGAATTAGGTGGAATTAAAATGGTTTTATTAAGAGGTCGGGTTTTTAGTTATGGAAAAGAGGTTTTTGATTAATATCAATACTAGATCTTACTGTTTCATATGATCCTAAATTTTAATTCAAAGGGGAGATCTAAGGTATGGGAAAAATGTTGATCGAGGGCATTCTTCGATGCTCGACAACGATGGAAATTTGGGAAAGAGGGTGGAGTGTCGCCAGGGCAATAATGCTCGGCAACCGGGTTTCAAGAGTTGGCGTCAATCAAAGGCTTACTATGAGCTCGATAGACGACAGTCGTCAAGGGCACAATGTGCTCGACAACGATGAAAATTTGGGAAAAGGGTGGAGTGTCGCCAGGGCAATAATGTTCGGCAACCGGGTTTCAAGGGTTGGACCACGTCCGAGTGACAACAGCAGAATAGCCGCTAAGCAAAATCTATATCGCTGATTATATTAAAGCTCAATCGCGGGCCTCTTTTTAAAGTAATCGCCGGTCAGTTCTAGAAAGTTACTACTGCGCAGCTGCCTAGTTCTAAATAAAGCCTTCTGATTGGTCGGT